CAAAATCAAAAGTAGGATGCCCCACTGACCGAGCTACCTGGGCATCCCTGTTTTTTTCATGAATTTTTATTTATTTATTTACTTACTTATTAAAGATTTTATTTATTTATTTGACAGACAGAGATCACAAGTAGGCAGAGAGGCAGGCAGAGAGAGGGGGAAGCAGGCTCCCTGCTGAGCAGAGAGCCCGATGTGAGGCTGGATCCCAGGACCCTGGGATCATGACCTGAGCCAAAGGCAGAGGCTTTAACCACTGAGCCCCCCAGGCGCCCCGTTCATGAATTTTTAATCAAGTGCAACACCTGGTCAGAATTATACATTTATCTCCTCTTTAAATTCTTCTTGTTACTTATAGTCCACCATCCCAAAGTGGGCTACGTATTAACTGTTCTGATTTTGTTCATTTACATATATAGGCTGTGCAGCTACTGCTGTGTTCAAAACCAAAACCAAAACATCTCAATCACTTTAAACAGCCACCTTTTTTTTTTTTTTTAATTTCTCATTATTTTGTATTCAGCTGGTCAGTTATGGTGACCTTGGCTTGTTTCTTCTGATTTTGACTGAGCTTTCTCTAGCATCTGCCTTCGGCTGGTTAGCTACAGTCTAGTCTAGGATGGCCTCAGCTGAAATGTCTCAGCTTTCCTCCACAGGATTTGTATCCTCCAGTAGGCTAGCTGGAGCTTATTCTCATGGCTGTCACAGGGTTCCAAGAGATATCAGAAGAACGCAAGACCTCTGTAAGATTAGCCCCAGAATAGAGTAGAGCAGAGAAAGGCAGAAAATAGACCTGGAGGAGAACAAAGAAGAAATCACCATCATGGTGCCAGTGTGTTCTTCCAAGTTCTTTATAAAAAATTTTAAAAATGGCACCAACAAATACTTTTCATGGAAAACCTCTATAGAACTTCTTAAAGATGCATTGATCAACAGTTTTGGAAAACATTATTTAACTATCCATGACATACCAATAGGAGCTTTTATCCAACCACGTTTCTCCATCATGTTAATAAGGGCTTAGTGAAAAATTTTGTCAAATTTGATGCTGCAATTAAGAAATCATCCAGAATCTTGGAACACTGAAAAAAATAAAATAAAATAATATCACCAAAAAAAAAAGTTAAAAGTTAAAAATAAATTAATAAATAAATAAATAGAAATCATCCAGAGTTTTCTGAACAGAAATGATCATCACTGCATTTAATTATAATAGCAAAATATTAGAAAAATTTCAGAACTGTATAACTTATTATGGTAATCCATATAAGAAATTATTTCATGTGGGTTTTAGGTTTCAAATAATTGATAAAATGGGGAGATGCTCACAATTTAATTTTAATGACAGAATGGTAGGATACATAAACACAATATTGGCAAAGTTATAGGTATCATATTTTATATCTAATATATAAATATTTATATATCCTAGAAAAACAATAAAAATATACTTACTATCTTTGAATGTCATGATTATAGTGATTTTTATTTTCATCCTAAACTTAAGATATTCTCTAGATTTTTCTAAAATGGACATATCTGATGTCATCCTCAGAAAAAATTAATCATATATTTAAGGTTTTTCCATTTTGTAATTTTCCTGAGAACTAAAATCAAGCATACATTTCTTTCTATTTTGAAAATTGTACATTTGTTTATTGTAAGTCTGATATTCTCTGAGAAAACATAACGAACAACTACAGCTGGGAGGGAAATTTGAATCTTTCTCAAAAGCATAGTAACTGGATTTTAATACCTATTTCATCAACGTTTTCATCTTTAAAATATTTCCTGCAGCTATATCATATGTCAATATATATGTCCTTTTTTCTTTTTAAAGAAAATACTTACTTTTATTAACCATCTGTACAACTTCCATTCAGATCACTACAGCTTAAAATAGATCACTACCCTTTTGGATGTCTGCAGTAACTAAGAACAATGGATAAAATCCATACAACAGTTCAGAAAAGTTCACATCACCCTCAGTTCAAAACATGATTCACCAAGCTTAGAGTATATAAAAAGAATAATTAGAAATTAAATACCTCAATAAGGTTTTTTTTTTAATTTGTCAGCACTAAAAGTCTGAATTTTAAACTGATTCTTGGACTGGTGGCTCACATCCATCAGCTCATTCAACTTTAGCACTGGTCTCATCCCCAGTCGCTTTTCCAGAACGACTCCTTTCATCGTGAAGCTCCATGAGCTTTCCCAACTCAAACTTGGCCTTCTTCAGCATTTTTACTTTTCTAACAAAGAAAAACATCATGCAGTGAATAAATAGATTGACAAGGCCATTCTGTGTCTTTCCTGAGGCTATCTGGAATCAATTTCTTGGCCACTTCTTTCAAGTTGTTTGTCTGCACCTCTCAGGTCATGATTTCCATCATCTTTTTCCGAATTTGGTGTGCCTGTCGGTACTGAGTAAAATCTGATTGTTGTGTTTTTCAGTAAAACCAACACAAAATAGACAAAGTAGTCTTGACATCAACATAAGCTTCAGTCATGGTCTGCCGGTTTTTGACCATGGAGCACATTCTGTCGTGGGTAAGATCCATGCCATGGAAATTAGTAAGGCAGTTTTTACCCTGAACATCCTCAGTAATTAGCTTGAATTTTCTAAGTACAATTTCACCATTCTACGGATCAGCAAGGCTCACTTCAAATACATGGCCCTTGAGGCCATCAGATCCTATTTTGGTTCTTTGTGTTCTCGTAACTAACGTTTTTCCAGAATCTCTTGTGTTGAGCATAGCTGGTGCTTTCACATCATACCATTTCATTTCAGAAATGAAAAAAACATTTCACATAGTTTTCACTTCAAAAATGGATCAACCACTTTCTTCTTGGCTCCCTTTTGCCACCTTTCATAGGTGCTGGTTCTTGTTGACAGTCGTGGCACTGCTCAGGGAGCCAAAAGGCTATGTTTTCTTTTTCTATTGGATTCCAAGAAGAAACAGGACTTATGACTATCTTTAGAATAGTACTTAGTATCTATGCTAGACCTGATAAAAAGGAAGAAGTTCTATGGGCGAGGATAAGAAAGCAAGAGAAAAAACATATTTCAAACATCAATGCCTCATTGGTTATATTATTATGTGGTTGAGGAACCTATCAGATAGCTACATCTATTTTAGTTCTGATCATTTCCTTATGGCTTTTAAATTTTTTTTAAGATTTTATTTATTTATTTATTTATTTGCCAGAGAGAGAGAGAGAGAGAGAGAGAGAGAGAGCTCGAGCAAGCACAGGCAGGGGGAGCAGCAGGCAGAGGGAGAAGCAGACTCCCGCTGAGCAAGGAGCCAATGTGGGACTCTCCTGGGATTATGACCTGAGCTGAAGGCAGACACTTAGTCCACTGAGCCACCCAGGCATCCCAGCCTTTAAATTCTTATTTGTACTAAAAATCGTATGTCGACAAGGTGACATTTAAGCCATCTGAAATGTTTATTGATTTTTTTTTAAGGTTGTGTTTATTTATTTGACAAAGACAGAGAGATACTGAGAGAGGAAACACAATCAGGGGAGTGTGAGAGGGAGAAGCAGGCTTCACGCTGAGCGGGGAGCCCGATGCGGGACTCAGTCCCAGGACCCTGGGATCACGACCTGAGCTGAGGGCAGCTACTTCATGACTGAGCCACCTGGGCACCCCATGGAATGTTTAAATTAATAGTTTAAATGTAGTAGAAAGCCTCTGACAGCACAGCATGTATCTTTTTCTTCCAAGGGATGTAGAATGTGAAAATGAGTAAATCACCTCCTAGACACAGTGGTTGTAAAGATGGCCGCAAAATCTTTGATTTTCCTCTCACTAAAAAGTGGACTCTCTGTTCTTGAAATCCAAGTGGATTCTGTCACTGCTTAGCTGATAGAATATGACAGAAGTGATACTGTGCCAGCTCCCAGTTTCCAGCCTTGAGCTAGTGGCAACTTCTGGTCCCCTTTTCTTGGAACACTCATTCTTGGAAGCCAGCTGCCAGGAAGCCCAAGCCACAGGAGAGGCCGCGTCTGTGTGCTCCAGTTGATAGCCCCCGCTGAGCTCCACCAACCACGAACAGCAAGTGCAGCCGTGTGTGAGTCAGCCATCTTGCACAATCAGCCCAGTCACATCTTGGGGTAGCTCCAGCCTTAGCCACTGTCAGATTCCAGCTCTATGAAAGACCCCAAGGAAGACCCAGCCCCTGAGCTCAGTCAACAGAACCGTGAAATGTAATAATGAAGTGTTGTTTTAAGACACTAAGTTTGGGGTTGGCATCTTAGTAATTAACAAAAATAATTGGAACATTAACCACTATTAGCTGGCACTGTCCTACTTCAAATAAAGTTTGGAAAATAGTTCTAGAAAATGAATGGCAACATAGGACGTAAGTTATCTTTCACTGCAGTGGAGAAATAGTGAGTAGAGCTGAGTATATCTTATACCTTTCCAAGTCATATAGAAACATAATGAATCAAAGAAACCAAGAAAAAATAAAAAGGAAGTCCAAGGTAACATTGTGTTTAGAGTTGATGTGACACCATGACGTGTGCAGTACTTGACCATTTACTACAACCCTGAGAATTCAAATTATTATCATTGTTTTCTTTTTATTCACCCTCCCCCACCCACTCCACCCTTCCTTTTCTCTACCTCCAATTTCCAAATAGTTTTCACTCCACCCAACCTGGATAGGAGGCTGCTTCATATCCATAATGTCCCCATGTTATTTACAGTACATGAAATATGAAAGGATGCTACTCCACTGGGTGCCCATCTGGAGAAATCTGGTAGCAATCTCAGAGGTGAAAGGGTCAATCCAGGTAGGATTTCGTGCACAGAAGCCACCATGTGCCTTTGTTCTTCTGCTTGATCAAGAAATGATCAAATGATCACATTTCTTCCTAGGAACAGTGTATATTGTACATGTTTTAAAGCCATGACAACAAAACATCAGATATATAAACCTTTGCTCTGCTCAAGGATGAAGGTGAAGTATTTTCCAACTCTGTTTTGCTTTCAGGTATTCCAAAGTTGCTTACATCTGATATGGTTAAAGAAGGTGCTGCTGTAATCGATGTGGGCATCAACTACGTCCATGACCCAGTGACGGGAAAGACAAAATTGGTTGGAGATGTGGACTTTGAAGGTAATAAACTCTATCTTTTTTTAGGAGTGAAGCAAATGAAAAATTCTATTTTGCAAGTTTTGATAGTGGAGAGAGCACCTTTGTATTTGATGCAGGCATTACTACGTTATTAATCACTGCACCTCTTTCCTCTGAGGGACAAGAGTGTAATCATCACTTATTTCTAACTTTCCTTCCTCCCTCTCCCTTCCCTCCCTCCCTCTCTTCCTTCTTCCCTCCTTTTCTTCCTTTCTTTGTTCCTTCTTTCCTTTTCTCCTCTTACTTCTTGGGAGGAAAATATAATTATACCATTAATATTTAGTTTTAAGATTAAAGTCCTTATAATGCAGGTTTTTAGTGAAAGAACTCAGCTGGCCTTCTGTACCAGGCATTATTTTGATTTTTTGAAGTGTGTCTCTGTCCTTTGCCCTCTGTGCTATATATTCAGCCATTCACTCTTAAAGCCAGAAGGCATCTTGGGGTGTGTTTGCTAATCCTAACAATATTTCAAATCTAGAGAGTTACCTGGTTAATTCAAGACAACATTCTTTACTTGTGTTTTAAAGGAGATGAGGAAGAGGAACTAGATTAACATTTCTGTGGCCATTGAAGGAGATAAGGCATCAAATGTATAGTAACAAACAATTCTAACTCCATGCCTTATCTCTACTGAGCCCCTGCAAAGATAGTTTCCCCCTAATCCAATTTTACTTCCAATATCTTCATCAAATGCTTATAGGCATTCAGGTTTTCAGTATAATCTAGGAATCTTAGATGTCCAATAAGATATGAATTTAGTCAAGTAAATGGAGATATTTTCATATTAGAAATACTATATATATTGGATTGATCATCTGGCCGAAAAAAGCGAGGCCATGTCAACAACTGTATCAGCTATACCTGTGTCTTTATAGACAAACTGAAAGGAATAATAGATGATGCCCCTTTTAAAGTAATTCCAGATTTTACATTTTGTCTTGGAATCTGGTCATCAGCCAATGGTGTACCCAAGTTCTAGCATCATGGTATTGAATGAAACCAAACACACAGGCACTCAAGCATACTGCCTGAGCCTGGTGCTTAAAAAAAAAAAAGAAGAAACTCCAAGGACACTTGTGCTGCAATACATTGTGGGGACAGAAGCACGAATAAGAAATCGTAGGGAGAACACACTGCTGTCCTCACAGGTTGTCATTCCCGCAGTCCCTGCTAGGGATGGAGCTTCCCGTGAAGAAGTGTGGCTCTCCATGTAACCATGGGCACTTGTGTGTATGTGTGTGTCACGTGTATGTGCCAAATTCTTTAGGAAGTGACCTCATTTCTTTATTTCATTTGTCATGTCAGGTATCAGTAATGTCAGGTATCGATAATTTATTTGAATTTCTCAACACGAAAAGAGTAAGGGAAACATTTCATTTTAAAACCTGACCTTATTTTATTTCTTATCCTTGCACGGTCATTCTGCTTCCTGATAACATTACAGTTACCACACGCTTATTGCAAAATCACTGTACGCTTATGATGTACCCAAGTAGCATAGGCAGAACCCAGCATGAGGCAAGAAAAGCAGATATTTGCAGTGCACAACCTTGACCATGCTGGTAGGGCAAGCTTCCCCAGCAGTTCAACACATCTTTTAGGACCCTTCTCTCATGTGCTTGCCCATGGGTCTCAGACAATTTCCATGCATTCTTAGGTGTAGCCCATAATGTTCTTTCGCTTTTGGGGGTATTAAAAAAAAAAGTGGGCATTTTGGGGTGTGTGCATATGATCATATCTATGTGTGACTATTCAGTCACACATAGATAATATACCTCAGATTGCATATCCCTCCACTTGGTAGAATGTATTAAACTGAATGGCAGTTACGTTTATCTAAATGTATAATGAAATTTTAAAAAAAGGAAGTGGCAAAAAGAAACAAGGATATAAGATAACCGGGAAAGAACACCAGGCTGGGAGACAGGGAGGTGCTTTTAGACCTAGGAGCTTTACGTCCTCTCTGGTTGTTGGCGATGTTACCAGTTAAATGGCAACAGTGATAGCAGAGGCTCTTCCCAGCCCTAACGCTTGGTGCATCTTGGACCTTGGACGTTTAGCTGAGTGCTCCCGAATGATTAGGTAAAAACACAGCCGCCTTTGGAAGGTCAGGGTCTTCTAATCCTGTCATAAGGTATGCCCATCTGCTGGATTATATTACTCCTGCTCCCCGCCCCTGGTTCGTAGACCCAGGACCCTAAGAAGACCCAGACTTGGTCAAGAAGGCCTTGCCAGCGAGGACATGACTCAGGCACCCAGAGGGGCAGGCGGGTGATGGGTTTTGACAAGTTGCTCTTCAGGTTGTTCATCGGGACTTCACCTGAGGTGAGGGATGATCCCTCTGCTGAGAGGGAGGGACTTGAACTTGGCTTATGCCACAGAGCTTAGAGGGAGCACTTGGCTGCAAAGTGCCCACGGGAGAGTGTGGTTGCTTTGTGAGTATCGGTGAGCATTTTGCTCTAACCGTACGGCCAACAGAAACAAGTGGATGCCAGTAAAGTCAAATGCGAAAATAAGTCGTCCTTTCAGAAATGTGCAGCTCTCTAGTAAAGGGAAACTTTGGTGGGAACGATTTTTAAAGAATAATTTCATTAACTGACCCCCTTAGGGAAATAGCAGAAATAGGTAAATAATCGCAAATTCAATGATTTGCAAAACCAGGAGGCATTTTGTCTTTTTTCTTTCTAAGAAAATGTGGATGCCTACCAGTAATCTGCTTTATTATTAGATGTTTCGGCCTCACTTTTGAATCAGGCTCCTCATTTATGAGTGATATTTTATATCAGACACAGCATGAGAGCTTCCTTACCCTATACTATAGTTCTTGACCAAAGGTGACTGAAATCACCCTAAATATTTCTTTATGATGTTCATGTCAGGAGTTTGTTTTAATTTAGATATAATGTGCACCAGACGCATCTTCCTTCATCTACAAGTGTTTCTCATTCTCATTTTTTCCTGTGTTCCATTCTCTGCTTCCTTCCCTCTTTGTTCTCCAGAGCCCAGATTAGAATCTAGTAGCCCTTCTTGAGCTGGTGGCCTGGTATGGGGGTCACGACTCAAGGTGGCCTAGGGAGAAAGGATTGTCCCTCCCTTCAGCAGTCCTCCAACAATCGTGTGCCACCTCTGCCATAAAATTGCCAATATTCCTAGAGAGGAGGCAGGCAGATCTAGTAGAAAATTATATGGAGGGTAAGGAAGCTGGGAGAAGCTTTCTGACATGGGGACACCCTCTTCTCAGATCATTTGGAATTATTTTTCATTTAGTAATAATGGTGTTTGAAAGGTGCTTACTGTCCTTCCTCAGCCTTTTACCTGAATTATTCATTTAATCCTTATGATAACCCTATAAGGCATTGTTATTATCCCTCGTTTTACAGAGGAACATGGAGCCTGGGCATCATCCCTGAACTGACGCATGATGGGACACTGTGGGTTCATAGCCAGGCACTTGGAAATTCAACCCTGCGTTGTCTCCACTATTCTGTATTTCACTGGGTTAATACTTTCGTTTTGAGACACAAACTTATTTCTTTTATGTTTCCCCCAGGACATGTGTGATAGCAAGTTCTAAAAGTGCCTAGATAACAGTATCCACATCCACCTGTCCTCACTCTACGCAGTCTGATGTACCCAGATTTCAGTTACCACAGTTTAGGGATAGAAGGACAAAGCAGTTCAGAGTTCAGGGAGCGTGCCGTATTAACTGTAGCCACAGGCAGTGTAAACTCCTCTGCTCGCTCTTCCACCTGCTAATCGTGATGCAAATAACCAATGTGCCCTGTGACCGGCGGCCGATGACGTCCCTTCCTTCAATTTACATTCGTGGTTGGTCATGGCACACCTTTACTCGGTTCAGATGACCCCCACTAATAAACCACGTGACATTTTGCAAAAACAGATCCCAGACGGAGGGAAGTGCTAGGAGAAAACGGAAAACGGTGATGCGGACGGTAGAGTTTGCAGTAGGTGACATGGGATGTCGGGATCACCACCACTTGCCCTTTGCGAGATTCCGGGTACACAGCTGGAGGAACTCAGAGAAGGTGAGCTCGCCCACAAAAACGAGGAAAGCGGTGCTGGCGTAAATCTTCACGTTGAAAGAACTCTCTTTTGTGACGTTGAAAGGTCAAGTACAAAATGGTGGAAGCAGACTCAGATTTGGAAAGGAATCCAAAATTCCCCAAGGAGTAGGGAAGATACTTACCCAGTACTGCATGGTGTATAAGCAGAAGAACACAAAACACTGTTCAAACTACTCTTGATAAGTCTTTGAAAATAAACAGAACACATTAATTCTCAATGTTTCTAATGTTTTCAATAAATTATGGCATACTAAATACATGTTTTCCTACTATTTTCAATTCCCTATACATGTACAAACCATAGGAAGAGAGTTTTTAATATTATGACAAACATTTTTACAGGTCATTGAACAATACCAACAAAACCATTCCTCTCTGCGTGCCTTGAGGAGTTCATAGGGCCTTGAAGTTATTACTAAATTGAAATGCTATTTTGGTTTAAGTTGTTCCTTAATTATAGAATTCAAGATAGTTCATCATTGCTTCCAGCATTTGACAAATGCTCACCCTTTCCCTTCTATTACCTGAACGAGCCTCTCCCCTCTAATTTAAGGCATTGCATGAAGAAACAGTATTTAAAAGCATCCATGATAAAATTATTTTGTGTCTAAGAATTGTTTTCCTTACTAACAACACACAATAAATAATCTATCTTGAAAAATTTAGATTTGCTATACAGATTTAAAAAAATAGCAACAAAAACAATTGGACCTATCTACTTTCACCTGGTCATTTTCTATTAGTAGCTTTGAAAGAAACTTCATGCATTTCTCACAAAGAAGAGTATCTTCATAAGTTAGAAACAAGAGATTATGTGGCATGAATTGTAAATCACTTCTTCTGACTGGGAAGCCGTCTGGAGCACTGGACGAGCTCATAACTATACTGCTTTTATGA